TGTGTGTGTGTGTGTGTGTGTGTGTGTGTGTGTGTGTGTGTGTGTGTGTGTGTGTGTGTGTGTGTGTGTGTGTGTGTGTGTAGGGATGGTATGTACATTATCACCAGCAAATATAATTTTAAACAAAAAACCAAGCTCAAATGTCAAACAACAAAAACATTTTAAAACAAAGGTATTAAAGAAGTTTTCTTACCATCTTGAAAAAATAAGTGAAGTGTTTACTTGATCATCTATTAAAATTACTGGGCAGTAATTTAAATGAATTTAATTGTAATCATTATTTTAAATTATCTACCTCATCATTAATTCACTTCTTTATACAAACCTGATGCAGTTCTTCATCATTTGCAATAGCTAATAAAATATGTCTGGGAGTGACACGCCCCCTTTTGTTGTCCCTGGCTGCATTTCCAGCTAATTCAAGAATCTCAGCTGGAAAATATCATGTGCATATTAATATTTAGCAGTTATTGTCATTCTAGTGCAAAAACTGTAAGCACTCCTATTAATATTTTTTATTTGCACATAGTATTATATGTGCTAGTGTATAAACATTATTGCATGGTGCCAAGTTCTCGAAAGTGTTCTTACCTTAACCTCCTCAATGCAAAATATACAAAGTGAACATTATGCATTTGACATCTACAGACATGAATTTTCTTTTCCGAAAATCATACAGAAAAAAGCTGAATTGATATTTTCTAATTTATATTCAAACTCCTACAAAATTTCTATAATGCAGCACACATGCCTATGCATGTAGTTAATTGGAGGATATTCAATTAAGTAAAAAGAACAATCAATAAAATATAGCGTAAGGTTTTCCTGTTTGAATTAATCACCAAGCGCTTTAATTTTACCAGCCAATAATACAAAAGTATAGAAAATGAATTTTTTGTATCACGCAGATGTTTTATCCCATATAAAGAGCAACGATTTTCAAGAGAGAGCGTTAATCCATACCACTCACCAGTGAGATATTCGATCACTGCTGCCATGTAAACTGGTGCGCCTGCACCAATCCTTTGATGATGTGTGCCCATGCGCAAGTAACGATGCATTCGTCCAACTGGAAACAATACCCCAGCCTTTGCAGACCGTGACATTGACTTTTGGCGTTTCTTTCCTCCTCTTGCCGACATTGTAAATGGTTGTAAACATACACTGTATCTATCCCCTTCTCCTGCAGGAAGTGGACCCCGGTCACAACCGGAAAGACGCACTCGGAGCTGTTCTAACAACTAACCGAAACCCATGTGTAAAACTGTATTTCTTCTTCTTTCCGTTCCTTTGGCCTGCTTGATGTTGACACAGTCTCTAAATAAAGATATGCTTCAGTCGTTGTAGTTGGTATTCAAATGCATTTTCAACTTTATCCATGCACCTTTAATGTTTAAAGCAACTGCACATGTGTTTTTAAGGGTGAAATCGAAAGTGCCAATAGCAGGTCACAACTGAATGATAACTTGATTTATAAGGCTGGTACCCGTACATCTGATATCTCACAGTCAATAACATTAATGCATTTTTGCAGTGCTCTATAGAATTATATTAAGTATTAAAGATTAAGAGGTTACTTCAACCAAGATAAAATTATTTGGAACTTAAAAGTTTGAATTTTTTATTTTATTTTTTCATTCCTTTTTATTTTTTCATGGTATACTTTTTTTGAGCTCATCTGTTTAGGGAAAGCATAACTGCATCTTTTAAGGCATGACATGTTATACGTAGATATATAAAATTTTTATAGAGAAAGGATTTAAAGGTCTATATGTCTATGGAATTTTCAAGAATTTTCCTGTAATCACCAAGCAATGTACATATTATATTCTTTATCTTATCTTTATCTTATCTAAAACTGGTGAGATAATTATGATGTATAAACCCATTTTTTAGCTGTTAATTTCTATTTTACTATTACTAAAATGCATGTACTCATAATTCACCATGCTCCATGCCCTTTACAGGAGTGACCTTTACGTATATATTTCATAAAAATTGCCCCCAATTAAGTTGGTTTCAACATTCCCACTAGAGTTTTCTACGTGATAAATTTTTTGAAAATTAATTGATTTTAAAGTGACTGCATCATTTTGTCTCAAATTAGCCAGGGCCATAGGTTGAAAAAAAAAAAAAAAAACTCAAGGAAAAGGAGGGGTGAGACTGCCCCCTCCCCCACCTTCCGACTCTCTCCAACCCTCAACTCTTATTATACGGTCCTGCAAGTGCAATTGCTCTGCATTTGAAATGTGTAAAATTTTGTACCAAATTCACTGTAAATTTGATTGTAAATTTATTAGTTTCCTTCATGTTCACGAAAAATTAAAAAATATATATATTTTGAAAGCTTAAATATTTTCATCTTAATTTATCCCCCACCCCAATAAGATTTAAATAGAAAGAAAACAACGAGGGGGGGGGTATTTTTTCTACCTTCATCATAAATATTATTAATCTTTACGAACCTGCTTTTGACGAAGGTGCAATGTGGAGGACAGCTTGGTGGCAGACACAAATATAGAGAAGGACGCATGGTTCCTAAAGTGGATAGAGGTAATATCTTGCGCCCTTGTCAAAAATCAATAAAAACTTGATTCAGATACATGTATGTGTAATTGCATATTAAGGCTACAATACATGGAGGTCTACATGAAATTGAAACGTAGGTACCTACGGGTTGCTAATTAATCATTGCCCAACTTTTGGGTTTGACAAAAAAGGTTTATGGTAGTTTTACAGAACACAGCAAAGTTTTCACAGAATTCTTTAGAAAATTACGTGTATTACCTGAAAAAGAGCATATATTAGAGCAATGAAAGGCGTCAGTTCAAAGATATTTATGTATAGAGGGCTACATGTGAAAGAGAACAATATGAGCAGTATATAAACTATAATTAGTGTCAATTTTATTTATTTATTAAAATATAGATAACTAAACAAAAGTAGTCCATTTATACTTATAAATTATCAACCATTTTCAACCTGAACTGGTGTATTTCTCAAGTGCTGTTTTTGTTCTACGCAGGATTGATTGTGCTGCAGGTGGAATAAATTAACTGTGGATGATACTGCATAGGTTATAAGAACTCTTCTAACCGTTCCCAGAGTCAGAGATGGAGAGAGATGTTTCTTGTACAGGTAGATATAAGTACATTTATTGCTATTTATTCATAAAATTTTAATTCTTAATCTGTCATCCAATTTGATTGCATTAATTATGAGTAATGCACATTTACTCCATCCAGTAGTGTCAGTTTTTTGGTTATCACAAACTGAGTAAGATAGATATATAGTATCAAAGTATTGTACAGTGCATAAGTTTAAATGTTTATTTCAGTGGTGGTATAGCACATTATGTATATTTTCCTGGTCACATTAATTTTAGACTTGGAGTCTCTTGCCGTGACTGCCATTGCAAGAGTCTTTGAAGACAGCCTTCTACAACCTCTCGCAAAATGCGATTTCAGCGTGACGAAAGTTATTCCATTGTATAACCCTCACTTGTTGCAGCAGTTTAGGTAATATCACAGCCCATTTTCATTATGTTAAAAGACCCCACCCTCTTTGAAATTGCTGGCTTTTGTCTTTGGTCTGTGTCTTTCATCATGTCCTGTAGATAATTATTTTTGTTCAAAAATTAAATTTAATTCTTTATTCAACAACACATAATATTAAAATGAGCTAGAATAGACAAATGAGGTTTATTTTTCATTTCCTTTTTTTTTTTAAGGAAAAAACAGATGGAATTGCAGGCCTCTGGTACAAGTGACAGTGAAACATACGGTTACACATGGGTTGATTCAGAAGCTCAGTTATATGAAATCTTCACCAATGGACTTGTAGCTAAAGAGAGCAATTCAAATGTCCTTGGTAAATTCCATTTGTTCCTTTGCTTCTTTTACAAAGACCCACAAACTGAAAAAGACATTCTGACTTGAAAAAAAACATAGAACTTTAACTGATTTTTTACAGTATATATACAGTATACTATAAATCGAGACACAAATTTGGTCGAGTGTTTATTTGAAATTATTTATGAAGGTAAAAGCCATGTTTTCATAGACCTGGATATTTTTTATGTTGCTTTGAATACTTTCCTTCAGGCAGTTCTAGGTACGGAGTACATTTAAGTATGCACCCAGATGTATGTGTGGCAGCAGCCAGCTATGAAACCAGTGGGATGTCAAGTCCTATACTGATTATGTTCAAGGTAAAAATAGTATTTTGTCTTTCATGTGAAAAAAAACTACATGTACATGTAATGTTCAAGTGCATTAATTAAGGTTTTAAGTGTGTGTCTTTCTGTCAGTGATTGATAACTCACAAAATATGTGTTATATGTTGGTAGCGATTACATCAATTCAAACTGTTTACTGAATGAGATACGTTGTACAAAATGAATACACAATGCATGAAACGTAGAAGAAAATATTTTAATTGAAATTCAAAATAGATTACCAGTTAGACTGGTTTGTATTCATACAGTTAGGAATATACTTTATTAAAAAAACTACTTAGTTTTAAATTTAATTTAGTAGTTGCATGGTGAAGCAACAGCATATCATATGTATTAAGCAGTAATTTAAAAAAATGAGTTTTAAAATATATATTGTTGCATTGATTTTGTACTTTTTGTGTTTTCAGCTGGTACTGGGGAAAAGAAACCCAGTTAAACCTGGTATGTATGTGAACATGCCACCAGCTGTAGGCTTTGACAGCCATGTGTCTGCACACTCTCCATCCATTACAGAACACCCAAGGTTACAGCACTACCACAGCCAGGTAAACAATTAAGATATACAGGCCCGTAGCCAGGGGGGGTTCGAAAGAACCCCCCCTTTTGCTGGGAAAAGGTCCACTCTGGGTAAAATTTGATCTAGGTACATGAAGTTTTTATGGGAAAAGGTCCACTTTTTCAAAAAACGAGCCCCCCTTTTGAAATTGCTGGCTACGGGTCTGATATAACTGTGATTGAAAGCAGTTTTAAAGGGCTTTGTTGGGCCAAATCAGTAAAGTATGAGAAAAAATACTTTCACCAAATTTCAGAATCGAAATTAATGCATTTATTTGGTTACATTTGTCGCTGTTTATTGGTGATAAAGCTCAATGTACAAGTTTTGTAAATAATCATGAGATCTGTAAAGTAGCTTAAATATGCAGCAGGATCTGTATAACTTGTTGTTACCAAAGTCTCTACAAGGCTTCACAGTTGAAACCAAATTTAGGTCTGCACCTTCCTCAATTGTTCTGACAATCAATGACTTGAAATTATACAGAGTTGTGATTGAAATTTTTCTTTCAACTTTCTGGGTGTTACCAGTGCAGAATTATAAATGATTAATATTTAGTCAAATAATTTTTTTTCAGTATTTAAGCATGCTTTGATATTTATGGGGTTTCTTTTTGTGCAATTCTCAAATCAAAACCGATTTTGAGTGTGGGTTCTTAATAAAATGTATATAATGAGAGGGGTTGAAAAACTAATGAAATTGATTGCCATTTAAATAAAAAACATTCATGATGTATCTTAAGAACCAGAATTTTTCAGATTGTATGAAGCTTGAAGGACACATGCCAGCACATTGAATTGGCTCTTGTAATTGACTGCAGAATTTTTTTTTCTGTTTTCAGGTCTACATTTATGAATATGATGATAACAATGCCCTAGTTATTCGGCCGAGGCATTGCGTACCTCATGCAGCTATCTGGTTTACAAGGAAGATTTATCCACCACATGTTTTTGTGCAGTCAGACTGTTTGCCTTCACCCCATAGTGTTAATTTTGATCCTGGCTGCACATTACTTGCACAATCCACCATGTCTGCAGAACAAGCAAATCAAAATGCACAGCTTTGTATACCCACAGCAAAAACTGGTTCTCTGATATCTGAGACAAACAGCTCATCTTTGGCACCATTCTCCCATGGACAAATGGCATCTCTCAAAGATACACATTCTTCTTCCTCTTTGAAAGAAAAAACTGAAAGTACTACAGATGCACATTTGTCAACCTCCAATTGCTGTTTGGTTGATTCCACAACTTTACAATCAAGAGACCTCAAAGAAAATCTGGCTGCCATTGAAGGTGCAAATATATCAGCTTCGGAGGTGGATTTCTTAACTCTTAATGATTTACGAACAGCTATTGAGGATGCAGCAGCAAGCACAAATGCTCATTCTAAGATTACTGATTACAATGCTTCAGCTTCCAAAGATGAAAAATCTAAGCAGTCAAAAACAATCACAAATCAAAACGTCAAAATTGTACATTCTTCTGCTTCCAAAAAAGGTTTTACTATGCCTAAAAGTGGACATTCATCAGTAATTATAGAGTACGTTACAGTGATAAAAGGTTCATCAGCACCCAAAGATGAACATTTTTCAACTACAAAAGAACATGTTGGCAATACAGAACATCTTCTAAAAGAGGAGCAGACACCAATGCCCGACAAGCATGTTACTAATTCAGGGAATATAGATGTAGCAGGTTCCAAATTTCATGTACAAATCCTCAAGAGTACATTTCCAAAAGATGATGAGCCAAAACAGTCACACATTACTATGAGCAATACAACAAATATAAAAAATGGCAGTTTTTCACCACTGAAAAAACAGATGGTGTCAGTCACTGTTAGAGGGCATGCCGTAGACACCAAGCATTCATCAATGCCTAAAGATGAACAATCTTCAACTAAAAAAGAATATGTTGCCAATTCAGGAAATCTTCCAAAAGAGGAGCAGCCAGCAGGGCCTGACAAGCATGTTACTAATTTGAGGGATATAGATTTGGCAACCAAATATTCACCCATTCTCAAAAAAACATTTCCCAAAGATGATGAGTCGAAAAAGTCACACATCACTATGAACAAGGTAACAAATATCAAAAAAATATATTATTCAACTTTGAAAGAACAGGTGATATCAGTTAGAGATGGAGTCACATCCACTTTTAGAGAGCATGCTGTAGTCACCAAGCATTCATTGCCTAAAGATGAACAATCTTCGACTAAAAAAGAATTTGTTGCCAATTTAGAAAATCCTCCAGAAGATAAGCAGACAGCAGAGCCTGACAAGCATGTTACTGATTCAACAGATGTAGATTTTGCAGATTCCAAATATGTATCAACTCTCAAGAAAGCTTCTCTCAAAAATGATGTGTCAAAATGGTCACAAGTTACTGAGACCAGTGTAACAAGTATCAGAAATGGATGTTCCTCACCTTTGAAAGTTGGACAGCATGTTGCAGTCACCAAGAATTCATCAGCCCCAAATGATGAACATTCTTTAACAATAAAAGAAAATGTTGCTAGTTCCGAAAATCTGCCAAAAGAGAAGCAATCAGCAGTGTCTGCAGAACATTTTGCAAATGCTAAGGATACACATGCAGCAAATTCCAAGGATCCTGTCCCAGTATCCAGGAAAGCTCAAGCTAAAAAACATGCACATTTGCCAAGTATTAAATGGCATTTTGGAAATGGTGTCTATCAGTCAACTTCTAAACCGCAAACTGTGATTCCAAACTGTGGGGCAGTATATTCCTCAAGACTGAAGATACATGGTGAAGCACCCAAAGATGTTCATGTGCCAGTTTTTACAAAAGATGCTACAAATCTTGAAAAAGCACAGGACTCTGCTTCAGATAAATATGTTATTACCAAGTGTGGAAATTCTTCTGTTTCTGAAAAGCTTGTCACAAAAGCCAAAGATACTATTTTGTTATCTTCCACAAACTCTGTTGCTTCCAATAGACATGCTAAAGTATTTAACCCCATGCAAAAACAACTGCCCAGGTCCAATCAACATGTTGCATACAACGATGGGCAAGTTACACATCCTCAGGATAGTGAACTGCTATTACCTGGCAAGAGAAATATTATTTCTAGAGATTCATCTGCCTCCAAAGAAACTGCATCAGCTCCCAAAAAGGCACAGTCATCAACTTTTGATAGACCTGTTTCCATGTCCAAAACTGCAAAGGATCCATCCAGACTGAAACCACATGTTGCTGATAGCAAAAATGCCCAGTTGTCTATGTCTAAACCAGTTGCTTCAGATAGTCAAGATAGCAAAGCTTGGGTTGCCACTTCCATGACATCTAATGCTGTTGATCTTGGTGAACATCAAAACAACATCACACCTGTGGCAAGTTCCCAATCTCTTGATAAGAGGCAGGGCATACCAAAAGTCAGAGGGAATGTTGCAGCCTCAGTAGAATCCCATTTATCAAAGTGCAACAAGGACAAATACCCTCATTTTGATGTGGGATCCTCAAAAAATATATCCAAAGAAGAACTGCAAGAGCCAAGCAAGTGTACTTTTCCAGAACAAACATCACAGACGAGCACAAGCCAAGCCAGCAGAATACCTGAATTACCAGAGAAGAAAAAGCAATTTTTGTCAGAGTATGATGATTACAGTATTGATGAAAAGCATAAAACTGCTTGGATAGCTAAACACTTGGAGTCCAAAATTGGTGAAAAATTGAGTATGAAGGGACAGTCAGCCAGCTTGTTAAAAATCCCATCCAAAGAGGTCCAAAGTACTGAGAATACTCAGTTCACATTATCCCCCTCTGTTCCTTCAGTCATAAAGCAGTTTCATGCCCCATTCATGTTTCCCCCTGGTCCACCAGAACCAGCATTATGGTGGGGATGGCCATTAAACTGTTTCAATAGGCAATATGGGTGTTGCTGCCAGCAGTGTTTTGCTTATACTGGGCCTCAAAATGTCCAAAAAGATCCTAGGCTCCAGAGTAACTCAAAATGCAGTAGTTGGGGCCTGTCAGCCAGCAATGAGTTTCAGCCACATGTGATTTCTCAAGATGTTACAAGAAGAGGAGAACATTCCAACAAACCAAAGTGCATTCAACAAAAGTTGCAGACATCTGGAGAAAGAAATGGGAAACAAAGTGATGATCCATTAACCAAAATGAAAGAAGGCCCTAAGAACAGAAAAAGACAAAACTCGTCAAGTGATCTTCTCTCAAAAGAGACCCCTCTGCCCAACAAACATGCATATTTTCAAGGTACCTTAAAAGATAATAACTCCAGCAGCAAAGCAATGGGTGATCCTATAACAAAAGATGTTTCCAACATCAAAGAAAGGAAACTTGTTCAACCCAACTCTCATAAATCCACATTAAAAAAGCAGTTGACCACTCCATGTCACAGAAAAACAGATGTCACATTTGAAATAGATAGTGGAAAGGGCTCATCAGTTGGTTTCCAGCTAAAAGATGCATTGCCAACTTCTCTGAAGAAAGAAACTCAAAATCAGCAAAGTTTAAAGCCATCATCTATCAGTTGTGTGCTTACTGAAAAACCTTGGCATTCAGACTCACAAAAGTATAACATGTGTAGCTCAAAAGACATGTCACTCAACAAAGGGTTGAAACATATCCCAAGAAATTTTCAGACATTGTCTGGGAGTAGTAAGAAAAGGCACGCCCAGTCTTGGAAAGTGTCTAGAACCAGATTAGAATCTTATTTCCAAACATGTAGTAAGACACCATGTGACACCAAGTCAAAAGACATTGTCAAATCTACATTATCAGACAATAAGATATCAACTAAGGAAGGTCATCTGAGTGGAATTCGGATGCAGAAGAGGCTCAACGCTAAACAAAGAATTAGTCAACAGAATAATCTTCATCCAACAGAGGTATCACCACCTAAGAAACCAAGGAATATGTCTCCTTGTCCTTTGAAATCAAAATTTGACTATGCTAATACTGGTGCCATGGTCAACAATAAACGAAGAATTATTCAGCAGAACAGATTTCTATCACAAGAGATGACACCACCTAAGAAACTGAGAAAATTATCTGATTCTTGTCCTTGTGAACTAAACTGTTACCAACTTACAGCTGAACCCAAGGCTGGTACCAAAGTCAAGTTGGATTCTTGCAGAGGTTTGAGCACATGCAATGGTTCTCAATCAGAGGGAAAAATGCAGAATTCAAGCAAGTTAAAAAGTTCTCAGCAGGTAGATCCCAATATTTAAAAGATATATTTGATTTGAGGCAGTTATACAGTGCATGTTGCAACTAGAATTATCACTATTATGTACTCTTAATGTTAACAAGTGCATTTATTAGTATTTAATTTTTTTTTTACTGCAGAGAAAAAGATTAATTTAGTTCTAGACTTTACTACTAAATGCAGCAGTTGTCCAATTTCGATTGAAAATTTTATTGCACCAGAGGTAAATCCAAAACATGACTAAGATTATACAGAAAGAGTATCCTGAAGAACTTTAAAATATTTCTAGGTCCAGTTTATTGATCTGACAGCAGAGAGCCAACCAAATGACCTCTCCCCTGCTCTAAAATGTGGGGGAAGATCACAATTATCTGATCAAAGAACAGAGGTAAAATGACATTAATATTTTGAATAAGGTTGTTAATATAAGTTGGTTTGTTTTATAGTTCTTTGCTGTAGAAATACAAGAGACATACGAAAATTAATTCACAATTGTTTCACCGATAAGCATCATCACAATATTTAGATGGAGTGGAGATAAAGTAAGTCCTAGGGCAAGAGTAAGTTAATCAAGATGTTCATAAATTAGCATTAATTTCTTCTTTACAAGAATGAACACTGACGGAGTACATGTATACTACTTACATTGTATGATGGAATTTGATGTTATCTACCTACAATAACATTTTACAAATTTTAATGAACAGGCATTAGCTTAATGAATGACATTTATTTAAATCAGTATTTCCACCCCTAATTTCCAGAATGTTGCCATGACAGTCCAGAGTTCAGGAGGCACCTTTAACATAGCACCAAAACGCAGGGGCAGGCCTATATCATCAAAGAATGTGAAGAAGGTGAAATGACAAGACTAAATACCATTTCCAATTATTTAAATGTTAAATAGTTGATTGATAGGAATTTGATCAAATTGTATTGTTTTTAGGTAAAGGTTTTTTTTTACATATTGGGTGGCTAAAAAAACTTAACTAATTTCAAAGTTCAATAACTTCAACACTTCCCTAATTTTTTAATTGAAATTTTGCACATATTTTTGATACATCGTTAAAGGCCAACCCTGAAAATTTCTAGTGTTAAAGTGATACAGTTTTGATATTATCAAATAAAATCAAATCAAAATGCCATGACAGAGAAAATGACTGTTGAGTCTACCTGAATTTTACTTATATGATCAATTCAGTCTCCTTTTTGCTGTCAGACTTCCCGTATCCACCTCTATTATGACATAATGCACTTCCTTATCTCCCCTAGTATAAATGTTCTTGGTTAACAAGCCAATAATAAGGTTGCCAAGTCCAGTTCTTTTCAGGAAATTCTTTGACAATCCTGTTGCTATTCCATCCTTTTTCTATAACAAAGGCATCAATAATTGCCTTGTTGCTATCATTAAAAACCATTGTAGTATTGGTCTCTCACTTATAAATATCTAACTGCCTTGCATCAACACAAAAATCATGTCTGAACACCTGCAGTAGCAGACATCTGCATTTAACAGGTGTCAAAACTGCCAGATAGTAGCACCTGTCAGAAGTCACATAGGCCAGCATGGGATTTTTTGACTTAAGATTGTAATTTTTAGGTGTGCCAAAACAAAAAAGGTGGTATCATGAAGTTTTCAGAATTTATTAATAGCATTTTTCTTCAATATCTAAATGTTTTAACATTTAATTAAAATTACAGTATCTTCAGAAATGTTGAAGTTATTGAACTTTGGAATTAGTAACATTTTTAAGCAGTCCAGTATAGTTTTTTTTTCTATAAATTCTTTTTATTTTAGGCAAACAGAAATAGTATTAATACAGCGTAGTATTACTTACATGGTCTAGGAATACAAAGCAGCCAAATTACAAACCATCATAATTTGTTCATCTCTTTGGTGCCATGTACTTGCAGGAGTGTTGCATTTTGGAACAGAACCAGAGGAGACAAATTATTTTTTATCTTGTTTAACAAAAAAAAAAATCCACATGGTCACACTAATATTTTAGGAAGGTGATTAGCTAGATGAGTGATACTTACATAAGTCCTTTTTCAAAATTCTAGAGTGTTGAAAAGACAGATCAGACTTCAGACAACTTTGATGAAGCACCAAAACGCAGGGGAAGGCCTGTATCATCAAAGAAAAGCAGAAAGGTGAAACAGCGAGGCTAAATACCATTTTCTGCTCTTAAAATGTGTCATATTTGTTTGATAGGCAATTGATTAACTGCAGTGTTTTAAGCCATTTTTTTTACACATTGGTGAAATGTTTGAGGGTTCCCCCCCTCCCCCCCCAATGAAATCTTAGTATTTTTGTCAAACATAAATGTGATAAATGGTATGAATAAGGCTATTTGTGGGGTCTAAAAGTAAAGATGCAGGCAAATTGATCAGATTACAAAATTTATCATTTAGGCAGTGTGTGCTTGAGTGTTGCATTTTGGATTGAAAACTGAGATGACACAAAATAACTTTTTGTTAACTTGTTTTAATATGTTATCACACTAATGTTTTTAGTCAGGTGACTTGAGCTGAATGAATGAATGATTTTTTTCTTAGTGTATTTTCAAATTTCCAGAATGTTGACATGACAGTTCAGAGTTCAGGAAACACTTTTAACAAAGCACCAAAGCGCAGAGGAAGGCCTACATCATCTCAGACTGTGAAAAAGGTGAAACAGTTGGACAAAATTACAGTTTCCAAATTGATAAGATTACAAACTTATTTAGGAATAGAAATTTATCATTTAGGCGGTGTGTACTTGAGTGTTGCATTTTGGATTGAAAACTGAGACGACACAAAATAACTTTTTGTTAACATGTTATCACACTAATGTTTTTAGTTAGGTGACTTGAACTGAATGAATGATTTTTTTCTTTAGTTAGTGTATTTTTTCAAATTTCCAGAATGTTGAGGTGACAGTTCAGAGTTCAGGAAACACTTTGGACAAAGCACCAAAGCGTAGGGGAAGGCCTACGTCATCAAAGAATGTGAAAAAGGTGAAACAGTTAGACAAAATTACAGTTTCTGTTATTTAAATATTTAAATGTTGAAAGGTATATTTTAGGCAGATTTTAAGCTACAGTTTCTCACACCTAACATAATGACAAGATTTTAATGATGAATGTTCAGAACAAATAATAGTTATGTTTTCTGACATTATATCCCATATTTGCTTCAGCTAGTCAAACCTCCTCAAGTTACTGGCTGTACAAATTAAGAAAAGGGTCATTTTGTTGTCACTGACTTGACAATCCACAGTGATAAAAGCTTTCAGCTGTTTTATTTCATTTTTATAGACAGACACAGATGTGTCTGTACGTGTAGCTGTTACCTCCCTCTGTCTTCGCTGTTGTCAACATGCACTTTCACTGATAACACGATAAGTAGAAAAATGTTTTACCATTTGTCTTCAATCTTATGGAAATGATGAATATTCATAAAATCAGGGAATTATATCTGATATAATTCCCTGATAAAAAACAAGTCGAGTTTGAAAAATCAGCATGATCAGGCAATTTTTTCAAAAGTTATGCTCTTATATCCCTTTTTTAAGCATATATGCAACACTGCTAACACATTTCAAGGAAAACCAATAGGCCTATTGTCTTGAAACTAACAGGAATGATCAATCTTACTATAATACACTTTGAATTTCCATGGGCTTGAAGACCTTTGCAAGTCGTATTTTCAGATTATCCATGATACTTACGTACCATATATTTTAATTTATTATTAAAGATTGGTGGTGATTATGCTGTTAAGCATTATATAATATTGCATCAAAATTGAAGAAAACCCTATTTTGGGCACTGCCTCCATAGTGACCATAAAAGGAAAACCATGTCACTGCTCTTCTCAAGACTAAAATACAGCTTCAGTCTTATTGGTTAACTTTTCTGGAAATAATACATACAGTTTTTTTGTTAAGATTTCAAGGCGAGTCTTTGGACCTTTGCTAGTCACATTTCTGAATATCCATGCTACTTTTATTTCATAAATTGATGGTTATTATACTGTTAAACATTATGTAATATTGTATCAAAATTAAAGAAAATCCTATTTTGGGCACTGCCTCCATATATAGTGACTATTAAAGAAAAATCATGTCACTTACTCTTCTTATACTTACAGGAAAGAAACATAGGACTTAAGTGCAGCCTAATTGGCTTCTTTTTCTGGAAGTTATACATTTTTGTGAAATTTTTATCTTTCACTTCACATATTGGCATTTTCAATGTGGGACTTATAACTCCCATGGGTATGAAGCCGAATGGTAGTTAAATTTTCTATATGTCTGTGTTATTAATAGTAGATAATTAAAAATACAGTTAATCATACAGTTAATCATTATGTAATATTGCATCAAAATTGACAATAAAACCTACTTTGTGCACTGCCACCACAAACGTTTTGAAAAGAAAACTGTGTCACTTATTATTGTTTTAACTTGCAAGAATATTTCTTAGGATTGACATACAGTTGTACATTTGACAGCTTTGCTGCCTAGTTTAATAAAAATTAAATGTTATTGCAAGGGCAGATTGAGACTGTCTTTTGGGTCTACCGGAAGACAGTCAGATTTTAAAGTTTACATTGACGGGTATCTATTTTTTTCTGTTGGAAGACCATCAAAATGGAGGATGGATCAACAAAGATAACTTGGAATACTGTCAGAAAATATCTCTGAATCCGCTCCTGTTATTGACCATGTTAGCTGTTTTGCAGATTAAAATTCATTGTTGATTAACTGTGCTATTATAAGGTTTATTTATTATTGCATCAAATTGACAAAATGACCCGTTTTCTGCATCTTTATTTTCTGTTTTTTGTCTGTACATTTGACAGCTTTGCTGCCTTGTTCATTTATCCTTTTCTGAATTACATCTTTTTATGTCCTCTGTTCACTACTATGGCTTCTGGTCTTTTGTTGTTGAAACCTGTTTCTCTTTTTTTTTTTTTTTCTTTTTTGCATTTGTGTCATGTTCTGGCAGCACTTTCGCACCTACTCTGCACCTGTTTTTCTAATTAATATGTTTTTATAGCACTTGTTTCCTGTAAATTTTTTAATGTACTGTTTCTGTTAAATTATGTTAATTATTAATTTTTTAACCAGGGTAAAAAAGATGATGAAGAGGCTGAATACAAGGAACCACTTTTCAAACAAAGAAAGAATTGGACTCAATCAAGTATTCGTAGGTCTGGCAGACAAAGGATTCCTACAAAGCATTATCAGGTGGAAGTAACTGAGAAGAAGAAAAGAAGATGCAGAAAACACTCAAATAGAAATACATCTTCATGCAGCTGTACAATACAACAAAGGGTGAATTGTTGCAAGACACCACGTGTGAACCTGTTCGATCTTGCAAAGGTCAGTGGAACTAGGTATTTTTTAGGTTCACTAGAAAACATATTTTAAAACATTTCATTTTGTTGTTGTTTATATGGCATTGAGTGTGTTTTCACTACCAAGTTGAGCCAAGGCCTAACTGAAGAGCTAATTGCAGGATCTAATTGTTTTGTATCAATAATAAATTTATCTTTTGCAGTTTTTCAAAAGTGTCGAAGGAAGAACAGTGCTGGGTCAAGTTTTGCAAGAAAAATGTCATGTCCCCAACAAGACCAGTGATACAAAGACGCATGCCAGGTGTGAGAAAGAAAAGTTGGTCAATCAGAAATGTTTAACTGTTACTGCAATCATTGAGCAGGGATTGGGCAGAGGTACCAGGCATGAGTTATGTGACAGCAGACCTCTTGATACAGCTCAGTTGCCATATTGGGATGGAGAAAATGTTTTCCTTCTTTCTGAAGTTGAGGTCAAAGAAAAATCAGAGGCTTCATGTCCCAGCAATAATTCTGATTCAGCTTGTAAACTAGAAATAGCTGATGTCTTCAGTCTGAAAGATACTGCACTTGGATGAAGATGAAATGGCATGGCAGAGGATTTCCAGTGATGGGAAATTTATGGATGTATTTTCATAATAGCTTTTCAAACACTCCAGAAATTAAAATATCGTGAACTTTTTTTACTTAGTAATTCTTTTGTCTTTGTCACAATGTCAATTTGCTTTTGTTCTTTGTATTGAACATTTAATTTTTATGCAAATTTACCGTTTTGGTAGCTTAGTAATTGTACCACCATCGTAGTCCGTTTTTTTCCATACAGTTTATGAGTTGCACTATATCAAAGAGTACAGTGTCACAATATTCAGTAGTGAAAATAAAATGTGAAATAGCAAGGATACGTCCATAGTTACTATTGAGCTTCAATAGGAAGTTGTGCATATACTGGCAGTCTAACTGTGACCTTGAAATTGACCTTTGACCTACTTTTCACCATAAACTGAACTTTGCAAATTTTCAGTCCCTTATATTGTCCAAGACTGGCACAGATATGCCCATAGATCTCAATGAAAACTGATTGGTATCTATGGGCATATCTGTGCCAGTCTGGTATATCAAGAGTCTTCATGTGACCTTGAACGTTGACTTTTGGCCTACTTTTCACCATGAACCGTACTTCACAAATTTGGATTTGACCTTTTACTTTTCCACATGTTATAAATTTGTTATAAATTGTAATTTTCAACAAAAAATTGAGAAGGCTTGTTAACTGCTTTTTGAAAAGCTTGTCAAGCACAACATTGGAGGTGGTGCCCCTTTTATTTTGTTTTCTATATGAATGCGCTCTCTCCAGCTGGTGGTACAATACTGGGAGGCAGTATCACCTCTCTAATCCTCTAGTGCTTTTTTTTTAATTTGCCATGAAGTTGACTTTAATTGGAGACATATCAACGTAAAAAGAATCTCTGGTCTTTTAACATAACGTGAGATCACCCAGCAAAGGAAATGATGAAAAATGACCAGCCTTTGTTATAGCGTAAGTGCTGTGAAGCAATCAGTTGTAAAAAGTTATGTTTTGATTTTTTTAAACAAACCTCAGTCATTCCCTGGCAGGGATTTCCAGCCATACACCTTAAGATATTCTACTGTTCTTGTACATTTTTATTCAACATGTCTAATATCAATTTTGGCAGGTAATTTTCATGCATTCATACCTCCTCCATTCCCATGATTAAAAAGTTGTATGGGTTCAATGATATTTGGCCAATTGATGCCACTTTTATTTTTGCTTAACTTGTATGAATTTATTTTCAATTTTTGCATTAGTAATTGACCAGTTAATCCAAATGGTATTCATTGACAAGAAAACTTCAAGAATCCATGGTAATCATTTGCACATAATGAGCATTTTTTTTGGGGGGGGGGGAGCAGAAATGCAAATTGAGTAATAAAAAATAATTTGAAAGGCAAACAGAGATTGTTTATTTTCTGTGCACTGTTCTTATCCTTTTGTTTTGTGTGCTTTTTTTGTTAAAATTATGATAGGACGCATGTGGTTAGGTATAGAGTAAACGACTGCCTTTTGATTTTACTCATTAGGCAGATGATATTAGGTTAATAGAACACAAGTTAGAACAGCTTATTAGAATGTGTACCACTGGCATGTACGCTGGGGGTACTCATGGTTTTAGTCTCGTACGGAATTTTCTGCAAAAAAGTATTTGTGCCAATTTTCCAAAGTACACAGACTTTAGCTCTCATATTATAGCGAGGGGTTTCAATAAGGGACTCCTTTCATCTTTAGGAGTTTGGGGTCATTCGTTGCATTTTCACAGGAGAAGCAGCCATAAGATGCCCAAACTGAAACTAATTCTTGAACTGTACATGCTAGAGATCTTTCTTGCATTTTGTCGAGCTTGTCAAGCCCAGTACTGGTGATGTCATTTTTTTTTTTTTTTTTTTTCATACCAGTTTAGAAGTTGTGCTATATCGAAAAGTACAGACTTATATGGAGTTTTTCAATTTCAAAGGTATCCCTAGGTAAAAATGCTTCCTTTTTTCATAAAACTCAAATCTCATGTAAGACGAGAATGGAGAAGTGTAGAGACAGGTGTGTCACTACCAATTATCTGACTTAAATGTCTGTTGCACCGCTGCTTTGTGTAATATGCAGTGATTTAATTGTGTAGTGCTCCTACAAAAAACAACCAGTCCGTTCAGAATTAGGGGCAAATTGCCACTTGTATGCATTTTCATGTAACTGGCTTATTAATGTCTCACCTAACAAATCAGCTAGGGGATAAAGATAATTACCCCCCAACAGTATGCATTTTCATGTAACTGGCTTATTAATGTCTCACCTAACAAATCAGCTAGGGGATAAAGATAATTACCCCCCAACAGCTTTAATAGGGGTAAGTTGACAGCAATTTAGTGAGACTGCCCAGGGAGATAGATCGATCCAAATATCTGTGGGAATGGTCTCTAACTGTGACTTTGACATTGTTCTTTGAAAAATGAAAAGTACAGCCAATACATATCAGAATCGTCAATAGGAGTGCTAACGCATGAATTTTTGTGCTATCCTGGTCTCTGTGCTTCGTGTGCTTAAGTAAATATATAAATGGAAACAGAAGATGTAAAATTTCACACAAACGTGGATATACAAATGTTGGTAATCAACATGGTGCATTGCAGTAATATTATATTAAGTATTTATGTGCACAGTTATGCCGTGCAATATAAATGTTACCATGCCACATGCGATTGGTGAGTCGACTAAGAATTCTGGGAAAAAGAATATTGCTGATTAATATTTTTGACATTATGCGGAGTGTTAAAATAGGCTCAAATTATGACTAGCCCATTTAGGCCAATGCTTTGTAAAATTAAACCTTTTTTACCAGCCCAGTGCCGCTTAAGTTGGGCAATTGCCATGGGCTAGTGCTTTACGACTCAGACTGTATACCTTTTTTATCTCTTATCAATTCTAACTTCTGTCAGTGACCTTTATCTTTTACACGTGGTAAAATTAGGTTACAGACACACTCACTCTCCCCATAAAACTTATGGTATAAATGTGCAATAAATTTCAAAGAGTAGGTAAACTTCGAACAATCTTAAAATCAGTTGTTTGAAGGTTTTTTTGGAGCATGAAACTCAACCAGTAACATTTTTGCACAATTTTGATTTTCATGTATTTCGATAAGTCGGCCATCAGGCTATTTTTGGGTTCATAAAAATCTAACAGTCAGCAATGTTGCCCTAGCATACCTTTACCTGAGCACTGTCTGTGTGGCCAAAGGTACAAGATAATGGTCAGTACAGTTGGCTTGGGCTGGGAAACAATGAATGTCATTGAGAGACCATTAAAGTATTATGCGTCCTTCATGTAGGTCCGCCATATTTAGGTTTCGGCCTTACTAGACCTCGGCTCTTCTTGATGTGAATGCTCTCTTAATTCCTATGCACCGTAAACACCCATTGGCAGTCATCTTCTTCTATGGTGGAGCTTACTTGGTCATGGTAGATGTTCAGTGCAGGCCGTCTCTCTAGAATCCAGAATCATTTTTGAAAAACAACACTAGTTGCAGGTTGCCAAATTGGTTAAAACAATGACACTAGTATCTGGTTACCAAGATTGTTTTTGAAAACAGACACTAGTTTCTGGTTGCCAGTTTCATTTTTGAAAAACAAACCTGGAAACAAAACACTAGATACTTAATTCAGTGCTCCAATTATCTCAGAGTGCTCAGGTAAAGTACCTCAGTGCAGCTCTGTTATCTTCGAAACCGTATTATTTATTTATTATTTTTTTAAATTCACTAAGTGGCTTTGTTTGGTAAAAAGGCAGGTTGCTTTCAAAAATCAATGTAATTGCTTTAAGTTCAAGGTGATTATTATTTTTTATTTATTTATTTATTTATTTATTATTTGTTTTTGCACAATTTCGGGTATGTTCACCCCATAACTGCCAAAACGTATTTTGGCTTTACACTAAATTTACTGAGTGGCTTTGTATGGTAAAGCAGCAGGTTGCTTTCGAAAATCAGCATTATCAGTGTACACCTACAGTAATTATTCTGCTTTTTTTGTGTGTGAAATTTTCATTTTTTACATTAGCATTTTCAGTGACTTTAATATCGCATGGAATTGAATCACCTGCTAGTTTTTCAATATCCATATTACCTAGCTGTAGCACATAATGTAAGAGGGTAAGAGTGATTATGCTATTTTAAAGCATTATGTAATAGTACATCAAAATTGGCCAAAACATTGCTTTGTGTACTATTTCCTTCATAAAGTCTGAACATTTGAAAGCTTTACTGCCTTGTTTCCTGTATGATGTCTGTATGTTTGTCAGCTTAGCTGTCTAGTTTTAGTTAATTTCTTCTGAATGGAAGTCATGGGGCATTACCGTATAATAGATAAAGTTGTTGTTTCAATATAAAGCTTTGAACTTTTAAAGATTATGCACTGTTTGATAAGATTTGTCTCACTTAAGCAGGACAACTTTTAAAATGCTTGCATTTTATTTACTGTGGTTGCCTATTTTGGCAAATGTTTCTGAGGGTGCAAAGATATTAGTTTTTCCACTTACCCACATATTCAATTCAAGAACATTCAATATGGAAAAGATTGCAATCTTGCTGCGAGACCATGGGCACGAGATTACCATGTTGGTTGCAGACCATTATAAACCAAAGCATGACCTAGGTGATGTGAAATTGATCAGATTTCACATTGATGATACAGAATTTAACAAAGGTGGTGTGATGGATCTTCAGACTGCTTTTGACATCATTGAACGTGACCCAGTTATTGTTCTAAAAGAATTGGACGACCTTGATTACCTACTGTGCCATACACTGTTCAGTGATAACGATATTTTGATGCAGTTCAGAAACTCAAACTTTTCCCTTTTTTTATTTGATCCTTTAAATATAGCAGCAGGTACTCTTCTTAATGAGTATTTGAAAGTGCCATCAGTTGGTTACTGGAATCAAGGCTTTTGGAACCTCTGGTATGTTTTTCATCAACCAATGTTTTATTCATTCATGCCTAACATTCCTTCTGGACTCTCTGACCATATGAACTTTTGGGAACGGTTGCACAATTATGAAGTGGACCAAAGTATTCGAAGCTGGCTGGAGGATAAGATGGACTATATAGAAGGCCTAAGACTTAAGTACCTTCCAAAGGAAAATATCCCACACATGAAGCATGCATTTGAGAGGGTCTCTCTTATGATTGCTGCAAATGCCCATTTTGCCTTAGATTATCCCAGACCAGTCATGCCCCATGTGAAACCTATCTCTGGACTCCTCTGGACACCAGCAAAACCTCTGCCCAAGTTTTTCAATGACATTGTTACAGATGCTACTCATGGGGTTATTCTACTAAGCTTTGGAACTATTGTCCCACATTTGGAGGAGGAAAAGGCAGAAATGTTTGCCAGAGTTTTTGCTAAGCTTTCCCAGAAAGTAATTTGGCGCCATGATGGAAAAGCTCCAAAGTCACTAGGCAGCAACACATATCTGGTAAAGTGGTTTCCACAGAATGATCTTCTTGCCCACCAAGCCACAAAACTGTTCATCACCCACTGTGGAGTAAGCAGCATGTGGGAGGCCCTGTACCATGCAGTGCCTGTGGTGGCCATTCCTCTCTTTTGGGATCAGCCCCAAAATGCCAGAAAATTGACAGACCGTGTTAAAGTTGGGGTGTCCCTTGATTATCTAACCCTTACTGAAACTAAGTTAGAAAATGCCATTGGAAAGGTCTTGAATGAAAAATCCTACAGAGAAAATGCAGAGAAGATTTCAATAATTTTGCAAGACACTCCTATGTCCGGACAGGAAGAATTCTTATTTTGGCTCAACTACACCATGCGCCACAATGGACCTCTTCACTTTCATTCCCAAGCAGCTTATAGTCTAAACTGGTATCAGTACTTTCTACTGGATGTCATTGCTTACAAAGTGGCAGTGAGTTGTTTGGCCATTTCTGCTTATATTCTTCTTGCAGTAGTTTTGTGGAAACTTATGAAAACCATACTGAAATATTTCACTAGTAAAAATGTCAAATCAAAAGCAGCCTAATTTATAAAGTTTTTGTCTTTATTCACAATATAGAGTAATTTTATTTTAAAGATATTTTGACAGAAAATTTACATTTGGAACTTTTATGACTGGGATTTATCAAATGAAAAATTAACAATAATGTTATTATGGAGATTTTTGCCTCTTTGCATTGAGTTATCATAAGACCGCTATGCGGCTCTGAACTTTAAAGAATTGTCTTTGGTTTTACTTTAGTGTAGTGTAGTGTAATTAAGTAAGCAACCAATAAACTTTCTAAGCCCGCGTTGTGTGTTTGTGTTTAATTTGTGGTTTAATGTCTTTCCTATAGTTGTTAATGAGTGTCACAAAATAGCTACCTGCACCCTACCTACCTAACCTAACCCTACTTGCACTTTTCCTTTCTCTCCAGATCTAATTCTGGAACAGTAAATGCTAGAGACCTTATGTATCGTGCATTTCATTGAGCTTGTCAAGCGCAACACTGGACATGGTGTCCGTTTTTATTTTGTTTTCCATGCGGTTTACGAGTTGCGCTATTTAAGAAAGTACAGCGTCAGTGGTGAAAATAAAATGTGAAATAACCCCAAAATTAGCAGAGATACACCTATAGCTACTTTTGGACTAGAATAGGAACTCGTATACTCGCAATCTAACCGTGACCCTAAAATTGACCCTTGTCCTTAACTGTTCGAAATGGCACCGTTTGCCCTCCAAAAACACCAAAATACATGTTTAATTGGGTCCCACAATAAGTGGGCCGAGAGTCGGCCTCGAATCCGGGACCTGTCATCCGTAAAAAACAGACCCCCCTCTGTAAATCCTGGGTCTGCCCCTTTTATAACACCTGTAAACAGCGTTCAGCAGACAAAAATGGAAGACTATCTTCTTTCCAGATTTTTTTGCCTAATAGTGCCTATGTTTTTCACAAAATTCGCATCGTCGCAATTGCTTTGACATGTTTGAACGTCTTGTAAAGATTCCCACCAAACTAAATCTAAGCATAAAACAAAGTCAGAAAATACTATCTAGGAACGCTCCGTGTCGGCTTTTCAAACAAGGCCGCGAGTATATCGTGAACTTCAACTTTGATGATAAGACCATGTTCGGGGACTGGCGTTGTGCTGGCTGAAATACATTTGTACGGCACCCTTACTATCAATTGTAATTGCAGATGTAAACATGTAGAGCCAAACTGGCCCTCTGCGTGACAAGGTAGAAAGTTTCCATTTGATCGAAGGCATACCAATTAACGAAGCTTATGCGGCTCCGTGGTAACTCTGCTGTATCGAACACTGCGAGTCATAGAGTGCTCAATGGAATATTTTTTATACTGCTAGATATGATTTCTGATAACTGAATTTGATTACCATAAGAGGTAAAACGTACATTTAGGGTGGGTTCAAGTTGAGATTACATATATGTGACCTAAATCCAAGAGATGGGGACACAGGTCTTTACGGTCTAGGAGGAGAAGCGGTAACGGTGACTTGTATCCAACGCCACCCTGCGGAGCCGGCGGCGCCGTACGATAGGGTCCGGACTATAACCATTAGCACTGCCAGCGTACACGTTGGTGGTACTAATAATCCTGGATCCTCCCCTGTTTGACCTTTGACCTACTTCTCGCCATGAACCGCACTTCACAAATTTGGATTTTAACTTTTACTTTTCCATATTTTTGTCATAAATTGTAATTTCAACAAAATATTGAGAACTCTTGTTTACTGCATTTTGTAGAGCTTGTCAAATACAACACTGGTGTCCCTTTCTTTTTGTCTTCCGTAGGAATGCGCTTACTCCAGCTGGTGGTGCAATGTCCGGAGGCGGTGTCGCCTCTCTGATCCTCTAGTTATTTGGGGTGTTGATAAGAAAACGATTGAAGCTGAGAGGTCTTATAACAAAAAACATCTACTCTTTTTCTTATTCAACATGAATTCAAGGTTTTATAAAAGTATACTTTGAATAATGATTGATATAAATGTGAGTGGCTGCACTGGGGGTATTGAAATCACTTCAGTTTTTACAAGCAAAAAAATAATAATTAGATTTCTGTCAGGACGGTACAATTTATCACTGTTACCAATCCCGTGAGGTCAACTTAACGAATTGTTTATGTTTTTAATTTTTGTAAGTTCTGGTATTTTTTATTTTTCAAGATAAAAAAACTGTTAAACCCTTGAACTCTTGCGTTTTATCTTCCTTGTCTGAAGATGCAAGAAATCCTCTTACCATTATGAGAAACTAATTGCTCCGAGAATACAACATTGCGTTGCGTCGTTATAGATGGGGAAATTAATGGGAACTTGTGTGACAATGACGGATCAGACGTAGTTCTGTGCTTCGGCACAGATTCTAAGACCATATAATGGTGTGTACTGGTCTCCTACGCGAGGATTTCATTAATTGGTCACTGACGCCTGCATCAACGAGAGTCATTTATCACGTGGAGGTGTCCTTAAGTCGGATTTAATTTCATTATCTGGCAAAATTCACTGTCGAAATTGGTGTTATATTCTGAAATCAATTACCATAAAAAATACACAGAGGGGATTGCCTAGCAAAACACATTGTGGCGCTAATCAATGCAATAATTCCAAAGGAAAATTTGCGTATGAGAACACTATTTCGAAATAGACCAATCCATTGTTAAATGACGATCAATGGTTTTGTTCGAGACGAGATATGAATTAGAAACCCGATGAGTTAATGGTACGAGACGCGATATAAATAATAAAACCGATGATTAATGGAACAACAGTGCAAAGGATTTTCAGATGATCTATGTCAGTTCTGAAAAGCGTGTGCGAAAAACAAGGTCCGTCTTCATGTAACCAGTTTCCAGGAAAACTGTGCTTATTGAGTGAGTTACTTTTCCTTGCACGCTTGTGTGTTGACTGCTCTTCTTTTCAAAAATTCAAAATTATTATGAAGAGATGTGTTGTTGATAAATGAGGAATGTGATATAGACAGAATGAAATTAGTTGAAATGAAGGGTATTAAAACTACCGCGTGCTGTGTCCGTTTATAGCGACTCATTTGCTGATGACCGTGATTTGAAAGTAAAATACACCTAGGGTTCACATGGTATTATCGGTTTTCGTTAGATTTTATCCTAACGTTTTCAACGAAAAGGCTTGGGCGGCTATCAATGATGTTGATAGTATATAAGTACAACGTCGTTCATCTGTTAATTGGATAGTATGTGGTGGAGATTTGCATGAACTCGTCGACTGCATCAAAGAATAATACGCTCTATATTCTGAATGGACGAGCAGGTACCAGTATCCCATCTTGAATTTTCCCGCCAAATCGATCTTTTCTTAAAAAAAAAAAAGAAGCGATTTTCTCAAACCATCATCCAACCATTGCTCGACCCGTCCCTGAACTTGTTATTCCCTTTTTAATTAAATAAACCGTTCTAAATGTTTCCTGTGTTGTTAAGACCACCATGCCTCCTTTAATATTTAAGAAGGAAATATAGTTAAGATTTTTTAGGAAAGGTAATTATCTTTGCAGGTAACTATGGCATGCCATACATACGTTAGGTACACGGAAAATATCACTTTGGGAGAGTTTCAAACGCATATGGTAAACATTTAATTTCAGAACGATTTCGCACTTTTTATGAAATAAAACAATACATATATACCAACGTGAAAAGCACGATTTATTTCGAAGACAAAAGAGAATCAAACAAGTGCATTTTAAAGTTTGTTTTTCAACTGCACTCATCATGAGAGCAACCGTCTCGTTGAAAAGTTTTCGAAGTCCTCTGTATTATTTTCAGCATTCATCTTTGTCATGCAGCGTTCATGGGTGATGACAATGCACTACGTTGCTAACCCGCAGCACCGGATATAACTGGTCTTTTCTCAATGTGTCGAAGAGAAGCGGTCGAAAGTTATACTATAGGGTCTTGCACAGCAAAGATAGTACCCTGAAAAAATCGGTTCAAAATCAAACATACATTTTTTCCAAAAAGTCTACAAACGACTGCTCACAAGAAAACACTGCGCTTGTTCTTGATCCATCCGCACATGTCTAACTCCGTACCAAATCTACATTTAATTCACTTTTGCTAATTAAATACCAAAACGTTATAGTAATACACGGGGTTTAGTCATTCGTGTTCCTCATGTTGAATTGTTAAAGTTTACTGTAACAAGAAAATTTGCAAATCGGTTTTAGTACGCACCTTTTCAATGTATAAGCCCTTAAACTGAAAGTACACGTTTTGCAGGCGATCGGCTGAACTGAAAATATTCTATTCCGTCTCATGCCAGGCATGGGCTTATATATGATATGCTGATAGCATCACGCGTTGGTACAATCAATGTCCAGTTGACTTGGACCCCATTTCCATAGATTTTAGATCGATCTATCCCTGTGGGGAGTCTCTCTAGATTACTAGATTTTCTTTTGAAAACAATTTTATACTCAATCACTGTGAAATAGACAGAAAATGCAACAAATTCTATGGAGACCGGGCTTTTACTGTTTATGCTCCAAAATTGTGGAACAAATTGCCTTTTAGTATCAGAGCTGAAAGTGACTATAATACTTTTAAAGCCTGTCTTAAAACTCATCTTTTTAAAGAATTTTATGGCTAGTGTTCCTTTAAACCTTTTAGTTGTTTATCATTTATTAAGAGTGAGCTTGGGTTAATTTTAGTAGTATTTTAAAGTTATATCAATAAATTTTCTCTGCTTTCTTTAATTAATTAATTTTATCAGTAAATGTTAAAGTATTTTAGTATTGTTATTTTTAGACTTTTTAATTATTTGTAAAGTGCATTGAAATGTAAAAAATGGAATGCGCTATATAAGAAATAAATATTATTATTATTATTATTATTNAATCTTAATCTCTGGATCGATCTAAATCTCTGGGAATGCACCCCAAGGGTCCGCCTACTCTGTAACATCACCGAGACATCTCCAAAACACAGTAAACAGTTACATCTTTTTTCTCATGATTTATGGTTGCCATTGGGAGGGGGCGTTTTCCACTTATTATTT